GTAAGCGAAATAAGTTAGTCAGAGAAAGACAAATACCACATGATTTCACTCATATATGGAATTTAAGAAACAAAACAGATGAACATATAGAGGGGGAGACAGAGGGAAACAAACCATAAGACACTCTTAAAGACAGAGAACTGAGGGTTGATGGAGGGAGGTGGGTGCAGGATGGGATAGATGAGGGATGGGTACTAAGGAGGGCACTTGTTATGATGAGCACTGGGTATTGCATGTAATTGATGAATCACTGAATTCTACTCCTGAAACCAATACTGCACTGTATGTTAACTAACTAGAATTTAAATAAAAATTTGAGGGGCACCTAGGTGGTTCAGTCAGTTAAGCATCCAACTCTTGATTTCAGCCCAGGTCATGATCTCATAGTTCAAGTTCAAGCTCCACATCTGGCTCCACACTGACACTGCAGAGCCTGCTTGGGATTTTCTCTCTTTCTCTGTCTCTCTCTCTCTTCCCCCCCCCCTTCTCTTTCTCTCTAAAATAAAATAAATAAACCTAAAAATATTTTTTTAAAAATTGAAAAAAACCCATAATAATAACAAAAAACATAATAACAAGAAAAAAGATGAGGCTGGACATATTTATGGGTAGGGAGAGTTGGAGTAAGTTAGAAATTTTCGTTTTTAAAAAACCAAGCGGCTACAGGGAGTCACCATGGGTCTGTGGGCAGGAGAATGCACACAGCAGTGTTGTTTGAAGCTGTTGCTTTGGAAGGCTGGAGGTGGACCAGCTAGGAGCTGAGGCACAGGGAAGAAAGGGAGCAGAAGAAGGGATACAAAGGAAAAGGGGGCAAATGGCTGGCAGACAATGTGGGTCCCAAAAGACCTGAACCCAATCCACAGCACTCTTCCTGCAAACCTAGTTAGGAGCAGGCAATGGCTATAAGTCTGCCTTTTGGAATGCTGGCCTCAAAGAAGTGAGGTGATTGAAAAGAGGCCCAGATTGGGAGAAATATTCTTTCTTTCTTTTTGAAAGGCTTGTTTTAAAAGTCCTGGGGCACCAGGAGTACAGAAGCAGGCTTTTTGCAGATATCTCTCTTTTCTATTCTACTCACCCCCAGATACTACAGCATCTTCTGTGGTCAGAAAAAAAAAAAAAAAAAAAAAAAAAAACCCAAGAGATGCCAATACCCCTGGGAAACCAGCCACATTGGAAAAGTTTCCTGTTACTAAGGTCTTGACCTATGGGTTTTTATACAATAACCCACAACAGTTGTTTTCAAAGTCCAGTCCCCATACCAACAGCATCAACATTCTGCATCAGCATTAGCTAGTCAATTGTCAAAAACAAACTACTGGGCCTCATTCTAGTTACACAGCTAGAAAATGAGTCAGCATTTCCATCTAGGTCTGCTATCCCAGAAATAAGCCAAGTCTTTTGTTAGCCATGGGTGAGCAAATGCCCTTACCTAGGGGGAAAAAATTCCTTCATAAATTAGTCTATAGTTCTAAAGAGCTTTTCTTCCAGGTACTTCTACATGATTGAGATTTGAATATGCTTTCCAGTTCCACTTCAACAGGACACCTTTCTTTGTAGGTGGTCTCTTCATGACAAAGGGGTGAGGGGCTAGGGCAGGGTCCAAACTGAGGGACCTCTTTAGAGAAGATCCTCTTTAAAGAGGCTGGGTCCAGAAGGGCTCTGTCTATAAAGTGCTGCTGTATTCTGAGGGACACCCTCCAGATCTGGGGGGGTCAGAGAAGACCTCCTGGAGGAGGGAACATTTGAACTAGGTGTAAAACAAGGGGTAATCTGGAGGGACACTGGATCCTTGGAGATGGGTCCAGAACAAAGTCAACTCTGGGGATGGAACTGGGGTAGGACCTCTGGGGTTACTTCATGGAACCCTGATGAGCTACCCTCTCTTCCCGTTTTAACTAACCCTCAAGGATTTATTGTCAAGAAGTGGATCAAAATCACAAGGTTTGGTATGGATGGAATAGGCAAGTATGGGGGGGGGGCAATGACTGGCTGTTCTTCGGGTAAGGGTGGCACTGCTGGGACTTCCAGGGAGGTAAGCTCCCTCCTTACCTCACTCTAGATTTCTGTCAAAGGAGGAATGCACAAGAGAAAGGGTAATTCAGATGGAGGAAAAGAAGTGAGGGAGATAGAAAGGACTTCCCTATAAGCCACCAGAGGTTTTCACCTTTCTCTGTGTCACTCAACCACTCACCAGCAGGAGGGCATGTCATTGCCTCTGATACTGCTTCCCCTCAAAGTCCTCCTGAGTACCCACTGGTGACTCCATTTCTGCTTCTCTCACCTACTGCTTCCTTGTATGTATGCTCTTCCACCCTCTGGTGCAATCTGTCTAAATCCCAAGTCAAAATCTTTAACATTTATACAAGGCCAATTTCCATGATGTTGGAAAACCCTGATACCCTTGCTTAAAAGTCCTTTGTAAACTCCATAGGAAGACAAACTAATCTGCCAAAAGGTACCTCAGTTTGAACAGGTCATCCCATCTCCTGAGGCTCCTCTAATGCAGCTTAGCTGCATCCAGAGAAACGGAAAAGACTAGCCAGAAAACAGTAAGCCTCCCTTCTCTGGTGTGAAGTCATGGCAGTTAAAGTCTTTCCAGTCAGCCACACGGCCATTAATCTGACTTGGGGGCCAAGTATCTGTGAACCGGAAGCCTCATTAGGATTTCTGCTAAGTTGCCATGAATTTATGGTAAGAACTGCTAAAAGGTCAAATCAACCCTTTTCTTACTCGGGGAAACTGAATTGTAGAAGTGATATATAGCTAATAATGGTGGGAAAGTATAAGAGCATTGATCTCTTGTCTCCCAGGCAAATGTTCCTACAAACATATTCATCTGAAGACTAACTCTTATTTGAACCTCTCAACCTATAGTCACTTTGGGCTACATGACAGTTATGGTGGTTCTTTTCTCCAAGATCATGGTGATCTGTGCTCACTCTGGAAATTCATACAGATTGCTGAATCTCTTTGATGTCCTAAAATCACTGACATTCTTTTGGGAAGGCACCTACAAGATACCAATCCTGAGCCTGAGAGAACTGAATCCTTATCCTGAGGTTGAGAAAGGAGGTGCATGACTGTCCCAGAAAGATTAAATGTAGCATTAAACATCTTCAATGATAAGCAGGAATATTCTATGGATAGGGCAGGAAGGGCAACAAGCCCCAGAGATAGCAGCTTTCACAGAGGTTGTGGCCTTGGATGCTGTATCTATTAAAGGGAAGACAAAATCTGGAGGACACAAATCGTTTTATTCTGTATTTCTCACAGCACAATTTAGCACAGTAATACAGTTATGGGATCTGTTCATGTACACTTGTTAAGTGTGTGTTCATTTACATGAACTGGTTAGGAGGGATAATTCAGTGAACTGAGCAATAACTTTGAGAGAATTTGGAAAGACAGTGTTCTCCTTTTCTGTATTCTAAGTACCAGGCATTGTGCTATAGGCAGATTTTAAGATGTGGACTGAGAAACAGGTGTGAAAGAAACAGGTGACTTAAGGAACTTTTACTTTATATATACTATGATTTAGTGTTCATAACAGGTTAGGATTATTATTCCCATTTTTGTTTAACAGATGACATAACTAAGGCTCAGGGAAATCAGGTGTTTTATCTGAGCTCACAAAGCTAGCAAGTGCTTAGGATCTCCTATGTAGGGCCTGAAGCCCTTATGATTCCTCTCACCACACTCCAGAATAATACTCCTCTCTCCACTGAATTCCCAGAGATCAATTTTTGATGGTTCCCTGAGGGATTCACGCCAGAGAGTTGCCCTTCCTGCAACCCCAACCGCCACCCCAATGAATCTTTTTTTATCTGCGGAGTCCGGGCCTGGAGCCAGGTGAGATGAGAACCTCCATTTCAGGGGCTTTCTCTAGAATCCGTCGCTGTGGTTACCTCCAGTATAATCTGTTTCAGGAAGAGGTCTGACCAAACCGGACAGCGGTGCCATTCATCACTGCAGGAGGGCAGAATCCGGGGCTGGGGGCCACACGTCGAGAGGGGAGGGGCCAGGGGGCGGCCCCCTTGTGACCAGCCCTGAGGAGAGGTCAGGAGAGAACGTTGGCTGAGGAGCGCCTGTACAGCAGCAGCTGCTGACGTTCTGTATCACGCGCCTGTGGCCCAAGGTAACCCAGACCTATAAGCAAACAGCGGAGCCGGGGGCGTTGCGGGGACAAAGGCGGGAAGGGGCAGAGATCTTGGGGGTCGAACACTGAAGACAGGGGCGATGAACGCGTGGAGGGCGTGAGAGAGTCCGAATTCTCGGAGGAATAGGGAATGAAGGTGCTGAAGCAAGAAACGAGGTGTGAGAAGGAACACAAGCGCGATAAGAGCGTGAGAGGGCGCAAGAGTTTGGCTGACCAAAAGACAGTGCCCTTGGAGGTAGCGGCAAGGGTGGAACATACCCAGCCCCAGCAGCATAGGTAAGGTGGGAGGAGCTCCATTCCAGGGAGGAGGAGGACACTTTCTTTCCCTGAGCCCATTTTCCATAGGTGGTCCCCTTTTAGCAATTTTTAAGGTAAATTTTGACCCCAGTGTGTTTTTAGAATAAAAGGAAAGAACGTCAGAGGAAGCTATGCCAAAGTGAGGCTGCGCAAAGCGCAGGAAAGTCAGTTAGAGGGTGGCGCCTTTTTTCAAAGAAGATTCCATTTCCACCCTAAAGCTCAGGCCGTACCACACCCCACCTCCACGTTTTCCTCCCTCTGTCCTTCTCCCTTTCCCCCACCCCAGCCCCCCACTCCCAGCAAGATCGGATCGCTTTTAAACCAGGTAACTGCTTCTGTCTCCTCAGCAGCTCCGGGAGCCCCTGAGTAGAGGGGGTGGAGCCCGCATTGGTCTCTGGCTGAGCTCATGGTGGGAGGGGTCCTGAGGGCGCTAATAGCGCGCCGCCGCCATGATGCTGGCCAGATCATTCACAGAAATCCCTGTCTCATTCCATCTACAGTCGCAGCTCCATTCCAGACCTTTCTTCTCAGGCCGGGCGGTGAGCTGATGGCCCAAGTTCGGGAAACTTCCTTGTCTTCCAGCTCTTTGGTCCGCTAGAGCTCGGGCGGTGGGGGAGGAGCCTCGCCCGAGGAGGCGGCTGAAAAGGCGGGGAAAATGGAGAAGGAGGCGGTGGGGGAGGCAAAGATGTGTTCAGGCCAGGGAGCTGAGGAGGTGAAGCTGGAGCCTTTACAAGAGGGTAAGCCTGCTTCGGAGGAGAACTTGACGTGGAGTGACAGCGGCGGCGATAAGGAGGTGCTCCCTTCAACCCCACCTTGCTGTTACAGCAGCTCTTCGCCCCTTTGCCCGCGCCGCAAGCCCCGCCCTCGGCCCCAGCCCCGGGTCCGGGTCCGAGCCCTGCCCGGGCCCTCGGCCCCACCCCAGCCTCCAGCCCATCCTCCCCCTCAGCTTCTGACCCGGCCCCAGTCCTGGCGCAGATCGCGGCGTAGATCCCGGCCTGGGTCTAGGCCCCAGAAGCTGCAAAGCTGTTCTCCTGACCTAGGTGGCTCTGCGGATCGAGGTGGCCTAGGGGACTGGTTGCTGGAGGTGGAGTTTGATCAGGGTCCTACAGGCTGCTCTCATGTGGAGAGCTTTAAAGTGGCTAAGAACTGGAGGAAGAACCTGCGGTTGATCTACCAGCGTTTCGTTTGGAGTGGGACCCCAGAAACTAGGAAACGTAAGGCAAAGTCGTGCTTCTGTCATGTATGTAGTACCCATATGAACAGACTCCACTCTTGTCTCTCCTGTGTCTTTTTTGGCTGCTTTACTGAGAAACATATTCACAAACATGCAGAAACAAAACAGCATAATTTAGCTGTAGACCTCTATCATGGGGTTATATATTGCTTTATGTGTAAGGATTATGTATATGACAAAGACATAGAACAGATTGCCAAAGAAACAAAAGAGAAAATTCTGAAATTACTAACTTCCATCTCAACAGATGTTTCTCAACAACAGTGTATGACATCAGGTGTTGAAGAGAAACATTCAACCTGTGAGTCAAAGGAACAGGAGCCAAAATTGGTGAAACCCAAGAAAAAGAGGAGGAAAAAGTCAGTCTGTACTGTAGGCCTGAGAGGGCTAATCAATCTTGGGAACACGTGCTTTATGAATTGCATTGTCCAGGCACTTACCCATATTCCTTTATTGAAAGATTTCTTTCTCTCTGACAAGCATAAATGTGTAATGACAAGCCCCAGCTTGTGTCTTGTCTGTGAAATGTCTTCTCTTTTTCATGCAATGTACTCTGGGAGCCGAACTCCTCACATTCCTTATAAGTTATTGCATCTAATATGGATTCATGCAGAACACTTAGCAGGATATAGGCAGCAGGATGCCCATGAGTTCCTTATCGCAATATTAGATGTGCTGCATAGACACAGCAAAGATGATAGTGTTGGGCAGGAGGCCAATAACCCCAACTGCTGTAACTGCATCATAGACCAAATCTTTACAGGTGGCTTGCAGTCAGATGTCACATGTCAAGCTTGCCATAGTGTCTCTACCACAATAGACCCATGCTGGGACATCAGTTTGGACTTGCCTGGCTCTTGTGCCACATTCAGTTCCCAGAGTCCAGAGGGAGCTGACAGCACAGTGAGTAGGGATGACCACATACCAGGTATTCCCTCACTCACAGATTGCCTACAGTGGTTTACAAGGCCAGAGTACCTAGGAAGCAGTGCCAAAATCAAATGCAGTAGTTGCCAAAGCTATCAGGAATCTACCAAACAACTCACGATGAAGAAATTACCTATCGTGGCCTGTTTTCATCTCAAGCGATTTGAACATGTAGGTAAACAGAGGCGAAAGATTAATACTTTTATCTCCTTTCCCTTGGAGCTGGATATGACTCCATTTTTGGCCTCCACTAAGGACAGCAGAATGAAGGAAGACCAGCCACCAACAGATTGTACACCCAATGAGAATAAGTATTCCTTGTTTGCAGTGATTAATCACCATGGAACTTTGGAAAGTGGACACTATACCAGCTTTATCCGGCAACAAAAGGACCAATGGTTTAGCTGTGATGATGCCATCATCACCAAGGCTACCATTGAGGACTTACTCTACAGTGAAGGGTATTTACTGTTCTATCACAAACAGGGTCTAGAGAAAGAATAGTCTTACAAGACACTTACCAGAAAAAAAAAAGGAAATGAATATACAAGGATCCTGAAATGACACATAAACCTACCTGGAATGGACAATGACAATACCCATACAGCAACAAGCACCTCTTGAAGTTTCGCAAAAACCTACCTGGCATTGACAGTGACAAATAGCACCTATATGACAAGTAGAACCTTGATATAAAGAACCTATCTTACCATGGTTTATGGGTCTGTAAGAGGAAAAAAAAAATACTAACTAGTGACCATTCAGCCTTAAGAAATGGGAGGGGGGGAAGAGGTTGAAAATGGTCACATAAAGCATACTTAAATGAACAGATTGTTTTAGATGGGGAGAGTGGGAATGGAGATGTTCTGCCACTGCTGTATGTCATTTGTTTCTACAAAAATACCATGTGAGATCAGGGAGTATTTGTACATCAACAAAAAGTTTCACAATTGGTATTCTAGCTGTGGCTGATTAGTCAAATGGTTTGAAAAAAAGAATATTGAAAAAAAAATTTTAAAGCCTTACAAGAAAATATTTAAAAAGAAGAAAACTTTTTTTAATTTTAAAAGAAAATGTTTCTAAATGTTGAAAAATTTAAGTTAAATATTTTAAAAGAAATGTTTTAAAATTTAAGTTTTTTCAATTTAAAATTTCAAAATTATTTAAGGCTTAAAAATACATTTTTCTTAGTTTAGAAAAGGTAAAATGAACAAAACAAGGACAAAGATAAAAAATGAAAGTTTACAAAAAAGTTAAAGTGAAATTTAAAGTTTTAGAAGTAAGAAAGGGGAATGGAGCTCTTAAAAGTTAAATAAAATGTTTATATTAAACATTTTAAATTAGACCATAAAATACACGTGTTGAAAAATGAGAAGTTAGCAAAATTCACAAAGAGCTTAAGAAATAAAATTTCCAAAAATATAGAATAGGATGAAAATTCAAATTTAAGTTTACAGAAATATTTTAAAGGAAGAAAATTTAGAACAAGACAAGAAGACAAAATTAACTTTTTTTAATTAAAAAAAAAATTAGGGGTGGCTGTTGGTTAGGCATCTGACTCTTGATTTCAGCTCAGGTCAGGATTTCACAGTTCGTGGGATTGAGCCCCAAGTCAGGCTCTGCACTGACAGTACAGAGCCTGCTTGGTATTCTCTCTCTCTCTCTCTCTCTCTCTCTCTCTGCCCCTTCCCCACTTGTTTTTTTTTTCCTTTCTCTCTCTCTCTCAAAATAAATAAATATACAGTAAAAATTTTGAAAAGGAAAAAAATAGAGAAAAAGGAATTTTAAGATATATAAATAACCTTAAGGAAGTCCAATTTGAGAGATTTAAATAAAAACTAAATAAAAAGGATTAAAATTTTTTAAATGTAAATAAAAATAAATTAAAAACATTTTAAATAGAAAAAAACAGTAAAATTAAAAAAAAAGTTTATTTTTAATTTAAACATTAAAATGCATACGGGTATGAAAAATAAATGGAGATAAGAAAAACAAAACAAAGGGTTTGTGAATATTTTTTGAATATTATGTTGACACATACATAGAATTTGAAAAAAAAATAGTCTTAACCATCATTTTACATCCAATGTGAGATTGCTGCAAGGCCTGAACTCTAGCCTGCCTTCCCCTTTCAGGTTCCACACCCCATCTGATTTTGAAAGAAGTAGAGCTGTTTCTTAGGAAGAATCAACTGCATCTGAAAAAGATGAATAGTAGGGACTCTCTCCTATTTAGAACTGCATTATTCATACAAATTCTTTGGTACTGAAAAGTGGTTCTTGACAATTTAGTGGCTTAGGGATATTAGATCACAATTTAAGCTCTGGCTTTGATGTTCAAGCCCTATGACCTGATTGAGGAAGTGACAGGGACCCATATCTGAAAACATACCATCTTCTGCTCTCCCTCTTCTCTCTCCATAGGGAAACAAGACCTTTAAATTTCTACAGTAGAGTACAGTAGAGCTTTGTACTTGATGGTCCTACTCATTCCTTATTCTCTCTTTTTTTTCCTTTTTTGATTATTCATGCCTGGTTCCCTGAACCACTTATTTACCTACATTTCTGAGTGCCAGCCTGTAGGGCTCCTCTGACTGTTTATCTGGTGGCTTCTATTCCTCCTTCAAGACTCAACTCACAGATGACTTCTCTGGAGCCTTTTCTAAATGTTCTACAAAGACATAGATTGGAAAATTGTTCCTCACCCCTCTATCCCTCTCACTGTGCCTCAAAGTACTTTGTCTGTACCTCAGTGATATTCTACTGTGATTCTACTGGAGCTTTGTGATTGTCTGCCCCTCTGTACTGAGCATTCTGCTAACAGGGGGCCAAGCCTTATTCATTTCTGTGTTAATAAATGTTTGTTGAATATGAGGATGAGTTCAGTTATTTGCTCTATTCACCCTCTCAGTAATGTGATCTCACCCATTTTATCCATCAAGCCCTCATTAAGTGCCCTGTGCTGTAATACAGTGTGATCAGGTTTGTATCTTTCCCAAAAACAGTGTATGAAATGCTACTTAGCTGCAGGGGATGGCTTACCAAAGTAGGTGCTCAGTGAGGAATAACCAGGTTATGTGGAGGGAGTACCAGGAACAATGCAAGAAAAGAGCACAAGTGTGAGAATTGGTCCTGAGAGAGTGGGTGGTGAGGGGGACCAGCAGCTGAAAGTGAGACTGGGTTTTATGGCATGTTTGTGGCAACGCTGTCCATCACCACAGTTTCCCTGAGCTTCCCACAGTGTCTCTCACCTTATGATTGGGTGCCACGCCTCTCCATGGCATACTGCATAAGTTTACCTTCCCAGGATACCATGTATCTCACCATTCCACAATGTTTTATATTACATGGCACACTATAGCTGTGACAGAGGAGTGATGTCTGGTGGCTGTTTAGTGAGGAAGGTGTAGGTTGTCTGCTTAGCACTCTAGCCCTTCTTTCATTCTGTGTGGTTTCACTGGGGCTACTGATCACCTTGCTGTGCTCCTCTCACCCCTCCCCAGAGTGAACATGTCCCACAGCCTAGGCCAAATTAGAGTTCTCAATTCCTCCACTCCTCCACCCACACCCCTTCCACAAGAGCAATTTTGAGGATGGTTATAGGACCTAAACAGGCCCAATCAGAGCCCATTGCTAAATTGAATATGTATAGACACTGGGAGAAAGAAGCTCCCTCTCCATGCTGAAGTCTCTAGGATGACATTAATCTGAGAATTTTAGGGGTTGATATTCATACCATGAGGAGAAAAACAGAATTAGAGATGGGGAGAAAGAACCTAGAGAGCATCATTTGAACTTTGTGGATCCAGCTGTGCCTGAAGTCCCAAAGTTCCCAGCTCTCTGATCCAATAAAATCCTTTGTCTTGCTTAAGCTAGTTTGAGTTGAGATCTCGTCACTTGTAGCCAAGCGTTTTGAACACATCAGACACACTATATGGTTGGGGGGGATCCTGTTCCTAGGACCACAAAGGGAGAGAAGGAAGAGAATGATGACCTCAAATGAACTCTGTCATATAAGATTGAGAAACCAGAGTGGGTCCCTGCATGTCTTTAGCTCAGCTATTAACCTCTTCTAGGCTTCAAACTTTACTCACAGCAATGATGTGGCTATGCCCAACTAAAGAAAGAATAAGTCAATAATGTTTCATGGGTACCATGAATAGATAGGCCAGGCACTATGGTAACTGCTTTACCTCTAGTATTTCACTGAGTTTACAAAGCAATCCTGGAAGACAATCATTACTGAACATATTTCACAGACTGGGAAAGTGAGACTCAGAATGGAAAAGTGGTTTTCTTAAGTTCACTTTACTGTTTTAAGTAGTGAGGTCAATATTCAAACCCAGGTCCCCAAAGCTTGTACATAATCCATTACAATTCAGTACAGAAAATTCAAAGATTTTTGTTTGTTTTGCTTTTCCTGATGTTTCTATGGAAGACACAATAGACCAAAATGGCGCAGAAGGCAGACAGCTTTTGACAAATCTAGATGACAAACCTGGAGAGTAATCTATCAATTGATAATAACAAAATTGCCCATGCTACAGGTGAATATGTCTCTATGGCAATGGCTGATTAGGATAGTCACATAAGGCTAATTGACTTTCCTAAGGACACACAGGATGGAGGAGGCTAAAATCCTGCTCCATTACTAGATATATAGCTTCACCCAATGTCATATGCTTGACTGAGTTCCGAGACCTGGCTGTAAGATCTAATCTTTTTACCATATGTGAAACCATCATCTCTATTTACACCAGTTTTCCTTTCTAGCTTCAATGCTGTGACCAGTATGTTGTGTGCCACTTTAATCAGTCACCTTCCCCCTGGTCTTTCCAGAGTGCCCACAATAAATACCAGCCCCTTAGCCATAGATCCTTCCCACCTACCTGTGGTGAAGACTACCTGTGGTGGTCTTGCCTATTAGGATATGGTTCCTAGGTGGTACAATACTGATTTGTAATGTCCAATTCTGTTGTTTCCACACTATTTTCAGTTCCTTATCTTGATTCCTTCCAAACACACAATTGTATCTACTCTGGGCCAGAGTTGGAACTACATGTCTGTAAATCCCTCAGGCCAATCACACTATATGGTAGATTCTTAATATGCTGGCTGAATGAATGAATGAATGAATAAACAAAATGAATTCCATCCTACACTTAGCTTTAGTAGTTGACTTTATATCCTAGTTTTCTAAGGTTAAAATACTTATAAGAGTGGCTGATTTATCTATGCCACCTACTCCAATACACTTCTATTTCCATCTATTCTCCACACCTTCCCTCTAGTTTTAAAGGAAAAGGAATCCTGTTTTCTTTTGGATGCTGCGCCACCATCCTCCTCTGACCCATTCCTGACTGCCAAGAGGCCTTACTCCCACACTCTTCCCTCTATGCCAGCAATTGTCATGATTTTTCTAGACATACAGCAAATAGACATCCTAGATTTTCTACGATGGTTCTTCAAAAACTTCTCCTCATTATCCCTATAATACTTAAGAAG